CATGGCATTTCAAGGCAGCTGGTTCCAGAAGCCGAGCTGCTCCTGAGAAAGGTGAAGACATTTCTTCGTATTTCTTGAACCCTTCCTTAATACCAGAGTGCTCATCAACAACTGTGAAGAAGAAAGAAGAAGACTTCAGTGACCTCCCCTTTGAAAGCCACAGAAGTATACCGCTCGCTGTGACTGACGCCCTAGAGCATATCATGGAACAGCTCAATGTTTTAACACAGGTAGGCTGACCTTCTGCCTTAGGGTAAGATGTGTAGAGCAGGCCTGGGCATAGCAGGATGTGAGGCTAGTAGTGCAGGGGCAGTTCTTACTGGCAAGGCAAACTCAAATAGTCATTAGCAAGACACTTAGGGCTACGCTATTCTGAGCAAATTTGTACAAAGTATCTCAGAAGTGCTCTCTCTCTCTCTCTCTCTCTCTCTCTCTCTCTCTCTCTCGTGTGTGTGTGTGTGTGTGTGTGTGTGTGTGTGTGTGTGTGTGTGAACACCCTGGGCTCTCTCTGGCATCCTATGTCATCTATGCAAATAGCACAGTACTTTGTGCTATAAATGTTACTTGGTTTAAGCAGTGTTTTATCCTTTGAATTTGTGATGTAATATATTTATATTAGTCACTTTGATAAGAAATATCAAATAGCATAAGAAAAATTTATGGTAAGCAAACACTCCTTTGTAGTATAAAATATTACCAAAGTTTATAGTTTTTCACGGAAAATCCTCTACCAGCTGAGTGTGTAATGTCTCTCTCCAGAGAGTTTCTTCCCCAGGAGATAGTTTGTCTGCCCATTTTAGAATCTTAGCCAGTCTTGAGGCCTTTACCATAGCAAATAATAAGTATGATGGGCCGGGCATTGGTGGCACACACCTTTAATCCCAGCACTCGGGAGGCAGAGGCAGTTAGATCTCTGTGAGTTCAAGGCCAACCTGGTCTCCAGAGCAAGTGCCAGGATATGCTCCAAAGCTATACAGAGAAACCCTGTCTCGAAAAACCAAAAAGAAGAAGAAGAAGAAGAAGAAGAAGAAGAAGAAGAAGAAGAAGAAGAAGAAGAAGAAGAAGAAGGATGGACCTTGAATATTGTTCTAAAAATCTCCCAGCTCTTAGGAGGTATAGACCTAATGTACGGGAAGTCTTGTGTTGAAAAGGAAATGACCATAGTGTCTCTGGCCTGTCAGCTGATTGTGTCCTTTGGAGACATCTGTTGTCCTCCTCACTGTGTACACTTAATCTTTGCTGTGTACAGTATTGGTCAGTGTACACACTGCCATGAGTCATACAGAGCAAGGGGTAAATGTATGAGAGAGAGCAACGTCAGTTTCTTGCCCAGAATAAATATTTCAATCTCAAATACCTCCTGTATAGAATCTCCTCACTTCTCAACACTGGCTCTGAATCTACCACTGGACTGCTAGAAATCTTTTAGGAACTCGTATTTATAAACTATACCAATTAAGAAAAAATGTTAATGATAAATCATCATTTCCATTTGCCCATTGATTAGTCACTGAACCATCACTGAAGGGGATACACCCAGCATTACCAATGTGCCCTCTTGTGAAAAAATAAATCACCAATGGCTCAGGTCAGACTGAGGGTTAGGATCCTGCTGCTAGTCATGGGATCTGCAGAGGATGCTCGTAGGCTGAACAGTATCCTAACTGTGTAGTCCCGATGTATAGACTATTATAAATGCCACGGGCAAATGGCCTGAGCCTGCTAATGGTTGACTGTAAAGAAAAGAAAGGCAGGGGTGTGAAGTTGCAGGTTAAAAGTAACATGCCAAGACTTGAAAATGGGAATGTGAAGTTGCGGTTCCTGGGAGTCCACATTTGGAAATTACAACCATCAGGAAATGTAAGAAAGTTATAAAGGTCAGCATAAATAAAGGCTGGTATAAAAAGGTAAGGGTGAAATTGTGACAACTGGTCTCTTATGGGAAATATAAATAACACTTGTACATTTTGTGTGGCTTCCTGGTCTATATTAGTTTATAATAAAAAGGGGACTGTTGGATTGTTTGGTTTTACTTGCTTGTTTTTTGTTTTGTTTTTGTTTTTGCAAGACAGAGTTTCTATGTGTAGCCCTGGCTGTCTTGGAACTAGCTCTGTAGACCAGGCTGACCTAGAACTCACATAGATCGGCCTGCTTCTGCCTCCCAAGTGCTGGGACTAAAGACTACAGGTGTGCACTACCACACCCGCTGTTGGTTTTGGTATTTTGGTTTTGTTTTGTTTTCTTTTCTTTTCTTTTAAGAAGCTATAAGAGACTGGACAATATCACAGTTATTGTCCCCAAATTTTACATCTGCCTATGACTATATTGTTGTGAAAACATGCAATTAGACTGAAGGAATTTGGAGAGCTAGGCTCCGCCAAGTTCTTTGTGCCCAGCACCAGCATCGCTTAGACATTTGCTCTTTAGTCCTCCAACGACAATGCTAGTTTCCTTACCTAGAGGAGGGAACTGCTGGCCATCGTGGTGTTTTTATAGTAATCTCACTTCCATTTGTCTGTACTGCTGTAAGGAGGGATAGTTCTCTGAAGAATGGACTGTGACAAGATGGCCAGTGGTGACATGTCAGTAGTACCTGAGCCAGGAATCTGTAGCTTGCCTGTGTTGTTTATAGCTTCATCCTTAACCTTAAAGACTTCCCGATCTCCTAGAAGACAGGAGCTCAGATGGAAGGATATTCCCCCAGAGAACTGGTCTTCCATATGCAGCAGCTGTTTTGTTTGTTTTGTTCTTTTTTTCTTCTAACTTCTTCAGTACTTGATAATGTGTCGATCAACAGCCCTATAAGTCAAGTTGGGAGCCCATTTTTTAGCCAGGCTGCGGCCAGATGGATTGATATTCAGGTCCAACAAGATCTGCTGTGGCTCTCCAGGCACCCCTCTAAAGCAGCAGGTTATCAGCCCTGACACCACATCCTTCTCTTTTCCTCCAGACCGTTTCAATTTTGGAGCAGCGACTGACTTTGACAGAAGATAAGCTGAAAGGCTGCCTTGAGAATCAGCAAAAGCTTTTCAATGTCATCCAACAGAGAAGTTGACCAAGAGAGTGTGTGACCACAGGCCAATAAATGAAGATGTATTCACATGTTCAGGCAGGTAGCAAAGACCGTCCACCCCCGACCATGCACTAATTACACAGCTTCTTCAGAGGGTGAGCAATAGAACAAAAGGTTGAAGTCATTTTTAAGAACTAACTTAAACACATAAATCAATGTCAAGAATCAATTTAAGCTCCTCCCAGTAATAATTGCAGTAATAAAAGTTACAAGCATTTAAATTCCCCCACCCCCCATATGATTTGAAATGTCAGTTTTTATTGAAAGTGCAAAGCCCCACCAGGAAAGTAGACAGACCTCTAGATTTCATTGTTAAGTCATTTCAGATTGACCACGTCTAGGCAATTCCTGAAGATAATGTATTTCTTAGGTGAGCACACCCTTCATGTGAAATAATTCACTTCGTTCAAAGAGTATCTTACATGGAGTGAATTGGTTGCTGAGCTGGCTGATATTTCTTTCAGGCCAGAAAAAGTGTTCTTAGGAATGCCTTCACCAGGTGCTCGCAGAGACTTTCCACAGCAAGAGTGAGCTTAACTAGCAGCAGTGCACACGTAGCAGAGCAGGGGTCTTCCTTGCTTGCTGGGAGTGAAAACCACATGAGGCCCAAGTTACAGGCGCACACACTAAGTGGTCTACGACATACTGAACTTTGTGATCAAAGTTCACAGAGATTATGTTTGTGTGATTTCAGTGTGCTAAAAAGCCAAAATGATGAAAAATATATACTCATGTAGGTACATATAAATCACGCATATTATTGCTTAGGACGGTGCTGGTGGCTGAATAAGTATTTTTATTCAAAAAATTGCATCTTCTGTTTTATTTTAATGAATTGTGACTTGACATGAAAGTGAGTTCTAAAAGATCTTGCATGCAAATTAAGAATATTTCTTTGTCTTAAAATAAAAATCAAAGTAGAAAAAGAAGCAAATTCAATGTAGCTAGCTTTGGGCATGGAGAACAAAGACCACACACATCTGTGTGACCCGGGCAAATGCTCTCTGTGAACTGAAAATGAAGCAGACCTGAGAAATCTTTCTCTAAGTAGTTTCAGTTGTGTACCTAGGAGCTGGTTTTACCTTCTATGTCACTGTATACTGTAAATGCCTTTTCTGTCCTGTGTGATTGTCTAGACATTTTTTTACAAGCTCACAAAATTAAATGGCCCTGTATTTTTATACCTTCATTGAGAAGACTACATAAAAAATGAACTGTAATACCAACTTTTGTTTACTCTTTTTTTTTTGTGCTTCCAACAATAGACACTTCTCTTTTAAAAAAATAATTTCTTTTTTTAAAAAAGTGATCTTGTGACTCACCAGTACCAGAAGGGGCCCAGTGCCCCGTGTCTGTAACAAGTGAAGGTGATTGTTGGTGGCCTGTGGCCCCCATTTAGGGATCACTGATCCAGCTTCAGCTGCTTCTGGCCACCTCAGGTGACCACACATTTTCCTTATCATCAAAGAACCTTGATAAAAGGTGACGGGACGATGAGAACAAAAACACCTTTTCAAGAGTGTCATGTTATGATCCCCTACTCTTTTTTCTAGCTCTTAAGGAATCTCCTTGGCCTTCAGCACCAGCATACTGCCCTTGCTAACTGGAATAGTTCCTCCTAGAGCGCTAACACGCATTTGGTTGAAGAGGGTTTTTGTTTTGTTTTGTTTTGTTTTGTTTTTGTTTTTGTTTTTGTTTTCGAGACAGGGTTTCTCTTTGTAGGTTTGGAGCCTGTCCTGGGAGCACTCGCTCTGGAGACCAGGCAGGCCTTGAACTCACAGAGATCCACCTGCCTCTGTTGGGATTAAAGGCGTGTGCCACCAACGCCCGGCTGGTTGAAGAGGTTTTTAAGGAGAAAGCGGATGGTATCAAACAATGTGACAAGTTGGTTCCTTGATTCCAGATATCCCACAGACTCTGGGGTCTCCCACACACTCACTTAAAATTTAGATTCTTGGCAATGGGCTGCTCAGGCATTCTGCTCAGGAGCCATTGCATGAGAAGAGGAGGAAGAAACCTACAACTCAGTAGCTGTTTTCATACTTCCCAAAACGCTTGTGAAGTGGCAGGCCCTCGAAGGTCTGGGCATTGTTCTCAGCTCCGGAGTTATCAGGAAATGGCAGGCAGAATCCCTGCCTGGAATACAGGTATGCAGGAGAGATGGGTGGGTCAGATAACAGTAAGTATCCTGGAGGAAGCCCTGTCTAGGGACAGGAAGTACTGGGAGGGCTCCTACTTCTTCGTGGGAGTCTGCAAGTGAACAGAAGCTGAATGTTTGGAGAACTCCCTCAAGGCAAAGCATTTCAATCAAGAGAGATAAGGACGCCCTACTGCCAGAGGGGAGTTAATGAAGATGACACAGAGGGTTGGGGTTGGGCAGATAATGTGCAGTTAAGATTTGAGCCTTACTATTTGTGAAATGGGAACCACACTCTGTTGCAATTGCTTTTTAGACAGTCTCTCTCAGGAACCCAGCTGGCCTCCTGCCTTGGCCTGGTGAACACTCAGATAGGTCTGTGCCACCATGCCTGGGTGAGACACATGCTTTGTTGGTCCAGGCCTCTTTAGAACCACTCTAGCCAGATGTTCAATGGTGAGAAGCAACAATAGGAGGGAGACAAGTGATGGGCACCCTGGAGTGACCTAGGCAAGAGATGACAGCGGCTTGATTATTCAGGAGATGGAGAAGTGACTGGGTGTTTTGTATACTCTGAAAAGACTTGCTGAAGGGATGAACGGTGTGTCTGAGGCAAAGGAACTAGGAGGACTCCAAGTGTTGGATCTAAGCCATGAAAGAAAAGGTGGTCACTTTATTGAGATGGTGGCAACTAGGAAAGGAATGTGGTGATTGGGGGATGACATTTGGTGATGCCTATTGAGGTTTTTTGCTGGGCGTTGTGGTGCATGCCTTTAATCTCAGTCATTGTGAGGCAGAGACAGGTAGATATGTGAGTTTGAGGCAAGCTCTGTCTACATAGCAAGTTCCAGGACAGCCAGAGCTCCATAATTGAGACCATGTCTGTCTCAATTATGGTTTTGTTTTGAGACAGGGTCTCCTGTAGTCCAGACTGGTCTTGAAGTCCTAATCCTCCTGCTTCTACCTCTCCAGTATATATTCCACATAGTCTCATACTCCCATCCCTTGGTATTAATTGTTTGGGTGAATTGTAACTCAAGAGTCAGGCCTCGCCAAACAATGAAACATTTGAGTTTCACCAGGCCGCACAAGGGAAAACATCTGCAAGGTTAGAGTGCCACTAAAGGTGGTTTGTGATTGGCTAAAGCTCCGGGGTATGATTGTGCTGAGTTGTTTACTGAGGCCATTAGATGGAGGCTGAGGCAGTGCAGTCTAATTTACTTTCACTTGTTACTTCAACGTGCCAGAGATTAGTTTGCATCTCACTCCCAAATCTCTAATTTTAATTTTGAAATGTAGTTTTTGTTCTCTTTTCAAACTGTACAGAAGGAAATTGTTTAGATGATACGGGCCTGGAATGCCAGCAGCCAGGAGGCTGAGACAGGAAAGTTGCAGGTTCCAGACCAGTCTGGACTTCACAAGGAAGCCCTGAAGCTCTATCTCAAAACACAGAGCAAAACAAAAAAAGATTAAGAAGTTGGGTTACTAAACTTGGTAAAATCTATGGAACAGGATTCTGGGAGAAGAGATTCCTCTTATGGGATAAGACATCTCCAC